AATCTACACTCAAAAAGGATGGATCTCCATGACACTAATTATTTTTAAGAACACATTCATGAACTAAATCGACTACGATTTCACTCAATAAAATCATTCTGCGCCACTGTTTTCATTATTCTTTCTTGAAGAATTCGTGATCATTTATTATTCATTCTTTGTAGCAAGATTCCACTAAAAAGTGTTCCGAAGTAATGCTATTATTCACAAGTCCTGATTATCACTCCGGTTTTGCTACACATAACGAAGAAATGGCGCTGAGAGTAATTTTATTGAGTTTTGTGGGCATTTCTTTTTTCTTATAAACAGTCAGTGTCTTGGAGGTTATATATAAAAAAATAAAATATCCTAAAAGAGATAATTGATGTACCGTGGCTGATACAGTTCACTTGGATTACCACAGTAAATTGTCTTTTTTGCTGTTCTCTACGCCAAATAATTGTTTAGCTAATGGGGCTAAAATGATTTTTTATAGAGAATCTAGTGGTCATTGGCAAATTAATAAGGGATAATTTGGTTTGCATATTTTTTTTTACAGTAAAATGACTTCCTTCCACTTAAAAGCAAAAAAATATAGGCTTTTTATTTGAGGTTTTTATATCTTTTTTATTTTTTTATAGTAGTGGTCATTAGGCTTTTTATTTGAGCTTTTTATATCTTTTTTATTTTTTTATAGTAAAATAACATAAATACCTTTAAAATTAAAAAAAATATTGAACTTGAAGAGGTTTTTTTTGTTTTTTCATATCTCTAGCATGGTGAAATAACAAATTTAACTTTAGAATAAAAAAAAATTATAATTAAAAATATTTTTTAATCTTATAAAGGATAAATTTGATAGGAAAATTGATAAGGTTTTTATCAATTTAGAAAATTTGTCAAAGGAAAATAGATAGTAATAAAAAGAATAAAAATCAAATTTGATAGGAAAAAAACTTATAGATAATAAAATTGTAAGAAAAAATGATCAAGATAATCCTACAAAAAAGCAATGAAAAAAAAAGTATAAAGATTAATTTTCAATAAATTAAATGTTAAATGATAAAATTTAAATAATTCAATTTTAAAAAAGAACCCAAAAAAAGTCAATTAATGTTAACCTTTCAAATCATTAACCTTGGTCTTGAACCTGAGATTAACCACATGACAAAAAAAAAAAAATCTTAGTTAATCTGGGTTAACCTATAAACCGTGTAATTATGAGCACAGGATCAAGATAATCTAATAGAAAAAAAAGAAGATAAGAGTACCAATTTCAAATAAATTAAATGCTGAAAGATGAAATTAAAATAAATTAATTAAAAAAATAAAAGTCAATCCACGTTAACCTTTGAAATCAATAACTCTAGTCATGAACCCAACACTCATCCCATAAAAGGCAAAACATAAAAAATAATAAAACAAATCTCTAAAAGATACAGGGAAAAAAAACATTAGCTTTTAAAAAGAAAAAAAAACAAATCAAATAATACAAACCTTCTAAACCTGTTCTAATCTCTAAAACTCACAACTCGTGAAATTCTTGAACTGGATTTAATTAAAAAGTTTAATTCCTAACCAATTTAATTTTAAAAGATAAAATCATGAAAAAAAATCAATTTAAAAACTTCACGTAAAAAAGACAGCGATAAAAAGAATAAAGATCAAATTTAAAAGAAAAAAACCCGTAAAAGATGAAATTGTAAAAAAACCTAAAAAATAATATCAAATAAAATAAATAGCAATAAAAAAAATGAAATCCAAATTTAAAAGATAAACAAATGAAGGGAGTGAGATTGAAAAATCCAAATTTAAAAAATAAACAAATGAAGGGAGTGAGATTGAAAAACAATTTTAATTTTATAACTTACTAAAAAATTAACAATTAAAAAAATAGGACCAAATTTAAAAGATTAAAAATTAAAAAAATATTTGTAATTTAATGACTTATTTAAAATAATCAAAAATAATAATCAAAATGCCACAATGAATGAATAGTAATCCAAGTCTCGGCAAATAGTAAATTAATTAGTTTTTTTTTTAATTTTAATTTTAATTAATTTATAGTATAATATTGCTCTACTTTTACTTTGTCCCATTTATTGAAAAAGGTCTGACATTGAACTTGAAGAAAAGTGTTAACCTATGCGAGCCAAATTACTTCCATTTCAAACCCTGTGAAAATCACTGCATCTCATTTAAACCTCAGCACTCAAGCCACTCATGGGACCGAGGAGACACTGAACTGGGGTGTTGTGTACTTGCTGCTTCGTTTATATAACTTTTTCAATCATGAATCCTTCAGGGCAAAATATTTAATGATGAACTTTGGGTGCCATTAGTGATTGCCAAGTTCATATCCCCCTTCTCAGTTCCCAGGAACTTGCATTTAATGAAAACCAATATAATTTCACTCTCCCAAAAAGTATAAATCAGTTACTAATTGAAGACATCAATTTGTAGGGTAGGTAAATGATGTGTTCTAATTCAAGCCTTTTATGAGAAATCAAAAGGCTTGCCGGTTCCCATTCCACCTTACCACCTTCCCTTAACGTGCTTATAAATCCTCATTTCGTCCGAACACTAAGCACAACCACCTCTCATGAATTCCTCTATTTCCAAGAAAATGAGTGGAGGTAAGCGTATTGGTAGACCTTCAAATGGCAAAAACAGGTTCAATAGGTCAGCGTATGCAGAGGATTCATTACCATTGGTTAGTGCAGAAGAAAATTTACTTGCAATAGTCGGTGAGGATGAAAATCAGCCTACGCCAATCCATAGCGTGCCAATTTTGTCATCTTTCAACGATCGTATTCGTCCTATACTTGATGCAGTTGATCAGTTGAGGCATCTCATGGTGATGAAAGAAGGTATACAACTTCCCACCATTGTCGTTGTCGGTGATCAGTCTTCGGGGAAATCTAGTGTTCTTGAATCACTTGCTGGTATTAGTCTTCCTCGTGGTCAAGGAATATGCACTAGGGTACCCCTCATAATGAGGCTGCAGCATCATACGTCTCTCATAACAGAGATGTTCTTGGAGTTTAATGGCAAAACAACTCAGACAGATGAAGCCAATGTTGGAGATGACATAAATATTGCCACCGAGGAGATTGCAGGCAGTGGTAAGGGCATATCTGATGCTCCATTAACTCTGGTGATAAAGAAGAATGGTGTTCCTGACCTAACAATGGTTGATCTTCCTGGGATCACTCGAGTTCCTGTTCATGGACAGCCTGACAATATCTATGAGCAGATTGCTGGAATTGTCATGCAGTACATACAGCCTGAAGAGAGTATCATACTAAATGTTTTGCCTGCTAGTGTTGATTTCACCACATGTGAATCGATTAGGATGTCACGTCAAGTAGATAAGACTGGGGAGAGGACTCTGGCTGTGGTTACAAAGGCCGATAAAGCACCTGAGGGGCTGCTTGAGAAAGTTACCGCTGATGATGTGAACATAGGACTTGGTTATGTCTGTGTGAGAAATCGTATTGGAGATGAATCTTATGATAATGCGCGGATGGAAGAAGCGAACTTGTTTGCAACTCATCCTCTTCTTTCGAGGATTGATAAGTCAATCGTTGGTATTCCTGTTTTGGCTAAAAAACTGATGCAGGTTCAAGCCACTATAATGGCTAAATGCTGGCCAGAGATTGTTAGAAAGATTAATGAGAAGTTGAATGGCAATGTAACAGAGCTAAACAGGATGCCTAAGGCTATGTCGTCAGTTGCTGAGTTTCTGACTGGTTTCATGGAATTTATTGGATCTGTTAAGGAGTTTCTAACGAAAATTCTTGTTAGAGGTGAATATGATGAATATCCAGATGATCCTAACATGCATGGTGTTGCTAGAGTGGTTGAAATGTTCAACCAATACTCTGATGAACTCTTTAATTGCCCAGAAAGTGAGTATACTAGAAACTTTCTGATGGATGAGATTCGTGTTTTGGACGATGCAAAAGCGATTGCACTTCCCAATTTCCTTCCCCGTCATGCCTTCCTCTCCTTACTGCAACGAAAAGTTGAAAGGGTTTCTCATATACCATTTGGCTTTGTTGAAAAAGCATGGGCTTACTTTGAAAATGTGGTTTGGTCTGTTTCGAGACACCACACTGAAAACTATCCTCAAGTTTTGTTAACCACTAAAAGGGCATGTCAGAATCTTATGGTGAAAATGAGAGAGCAGTCCACTGATTGGGTTTCTGAGCTTGTTCAAATGGAGAAGCTGACAGATTACACTTGCAATCCTGAATACTTGAATGAGTGGAGCATGCTTATGTCCCATCGTCAGACATTCATTGATGAAGTTCAGAAAAATGAATCTTCAAAGATGAAGATTGAAGGTTTTGGAGAGGTAGAGATCGTTAATCTTAAGAGGGTATCAGCCTGTTCTATCTCAAGCATTTGACCTGAAAATGAGAATGACGGCCTACTGGAAGATTGTTTCTAGGAGGTTGGTTGATTGCATGGCACTTCATTTGCAGCTCTGAGTTCGAAATCTAGTGAGCAAGGAGTTGGAGAAGGAGATTGTTACTGAATTGATGGCTACTAATGGTGGAAAGTTAGAGATGATGTTAGAGGAGGCTCCTTCTGTTGCAGCCAAACGTAAGAGGCTTAACGCCAGCATTGAGTTGCTGAGGGAAGCCAAGGATGTACTGTCCAATATCATGGGCAACGTTTCTGTCTGGTGACTAGGCTAATCAGACCACAGCAGGTCATTTTATTTTTAATATGGTATTTTTAATTTGCAATTTGTCTTGCGGCAATTAAGTTGTTTGCCTTTTATGCCTTAAATAAAGTACCGTCTTTTTTATTTTCATCAACAAATCTGTGTCTGTGTGCAAGTATTTAGTACAGCTTGTTCATAAATATAGTACCCTTACATTTCACATATTCCAAACAATGTCCATTTTTGTAACCGAAAAAAAGATTTGAGATCTTAGAGAGAAAAAAACTACTGAAATCTGAGGTCACCAGATATAAGCAAGGATCAAAGGACAGGGTATGTAGATCTATTAGAAACCTCCATTCTCAAGGTTTGGTTGAGTTCTTGTTACTGTTGCAGAAGGCATTTTACTAGTGCCAACCCAAATAGTCTCAAGAACCAAATCTTCATCCGCTTGTCTTTCCATTACTTGAATCTTCTTTGTTTTCAAGAGTTTCAGAGACACCATCCCAAAGTATCCTAAAAAAGCAACTACACTGAATCCAAGCGCGAAACCTATAACCCACAAATACCAAAAACTCTGCTTCCTTCTATCTCTTCCACTCCTCTCTTGCGGAACCACAATGGAGAAGTGGCCATGATCTTGAGAATGACATTCATTAAGCTGGTTGATTTCACCAAGGTGAAATGTCCCGCTAACACTAAATGTTACACATTTTGCTCCTGAGGATATCATACTCTCAGTAATAGTTGAATTGGCGAAACGAATCACTATTGCCTTTCCACCTGTATCCAGGCTAACCTTCCCGATACGTTTGGCTCTTGCATTTGATGCGTTGAAAACCATAAAACCAACAACAGGAGTGATCATGGAGTAACCTGGAACACTGTAGTAGTAAGAAGACCAGTTGCCCAGGTCTTGATAAACTATAGCCAGCCTCCTCACATGTGGCAATGTCGTGGTTCTTGATGGAATCCGAATGTCGCTAAAATTAGCACCAATGTTCCACAATGTCCGGCTTCTGATTCTTACTATAGATACCTGCACACCTGATAGATTGGCGGGAAGCAAAGCCTTGTATAAAGCACCAGTGTGAGGCCGGTGTCGAAGCAAGGACTTAAAAGCAGAATCCTGAAGAAATGCATCCAGAGTATCAGTATTATAGTTGTCTGAGCTGTGCACAGATGGCGAAAAATACAAGCTGAGAAGTAACCAGATGATATTCAAGCTCATGTTGGATCGTGGTTGTAAACAGCAATGTCTTTTGAATATAAAGAGAAGGCTTTCGGATTAAGACGAGATCAGAGGCATGAAGAGGGGTCTATACTCTCATATAATTTCCGCATAAACTCTTGGAAACTTAATTGGAGTTTTCTTGAATCATGATATGCTTTCTCTAGGCATGCTCATAGAGGGACCCTGTATGAAGGACTAAGAAGTCAATGCTGTTTGACTTCAAGCCGTGTTATCATTTGAAGTTCAAATCTAGAGAGTGCTTTGTAAAAAAAAAGAACAAAACAAAATAGGGTGAATTTCTTCAAAATCTGATTGTGATTAGCTGTCTAACAAACCGTTTGGGGAGGGAAATTGGATCCTATATTTCCTCATTTTAATTTTTTTAAATTAAATTAATAAGTTTTTTTAGTATTTGTTAATTATTTTAATGTTCTAGTATTAAGCATAAACAATTAGTGTATTTTAAATAAAAAATATTTTAAAAAATATTATATATTATTATTCCAAATACTACCAAAAACTCCAATGAAAAAAGATTGAAGAGGTTTTTGGAATTGTGGTAACAATTATTTTTTAAATATATTAAAATATTTTTAAAAAAAATTATTTTTTATATTAACATGCTACAAAATTATTAAAAAAATAATTTAAATCAAAAAATTTAAAAATATTTTTTAAATATAAAAATAAACAGTCTTCTGTGGAATCTTGAAGGTGCCTTATTTGCATAAATCAATCAGAAATTACAATAATAATAATAATAATAATACAATTCTAGACTATGATTTCGGTGGAACAAAAAGTATAAGCCCATAGCACGCGGAGAGCAATGTTTGTACTTTGTATAATTAGCAATAAAAACATGCGCTGATTGCTCTCCTCCCTGGGGAGGCAGCTTAGCGCGTGGCCTGTAATTAATTAATAAAAGAATAATTTGTAAAATGGCATCTGAAATATTGGTTAAATTCAATTTAAGCCCTAAACGTTTTATTTTCTGATTTTGATCCCTCAAACTGTCAAATCAGAACAATACACCGCTTATGTTAGGTTTCCTCTTAAAAGGTAACAAATAGAGACGTGTGGAAGCATATTATTTGCTTAGAAAATGTTTTTCTAATCTTTATCAGAGAAGAGGTGGTGCACTGATTTGACTTGAATTGCTAGCTTAAGAGACTAAAATAAAAGAAATTAAGAGATCGAGAGTTAACTTGAATTTTACCAACAATTCATAGGTTATTTTATCAACTAGCCATGAAAGGCTAAAACAATGATAGCAACCTACTTGTCCTAAATTTGCGTAGGAGACGACGATACCTCTTTCTTTCTTTTCTTTTTTAAGTAGAGAAAATTGAAGGTGAAGGTCTAGGTTGTGTTTATTTTTGCGTTAAAAAATTATTTTAATTATTTTAAAATTAATTCTTTTATAATATTGAATTTTTTTGATGTGATAATATTAAAAATAAATTTTAAAAAATAAAAAAAATATTATTTTAATATATTAAAAAAAAAACATTTTAAAAATCTTATGGGTTATCTGATTAATGATTTCTCAGATGAGAAATTTCAGTGGACTCCTACTGTGCACAATATTTTACTCCAGCACTAGACAAATGTGCTTGGAGTCTAATGATGGCTTGAGGCCAAGCAGGGTCTTTATGTTGTTCTTTTACTGGGCATTAGCATAGAAATTCTAGGCGGATGCCAAATGGCAATGTAGCTTAGAAAAGCCCTGAATATATTTATAACACCCGGCAACAGCTTCAAAATCATCACAGAAAATTAGCTCGATTTCTATGTTGCTTCAACTTGAATGAAAAACAAATGGATAATTAAAAACAAAACAAAAAATTATTTACTTTTCTGCTATATTTAAAAAAAAATATTTATTTTACATTCTAGATCAATTTAAAAAAAAAACAATTACTCTCTTATATAATATATGAAAAACAACAAATCATACTCACACACTATACCCTCTTTCTTGTCTCGCATTGTCTCTTTTAAAAGTCATAATATTTCTCTTAGTGGATGATAGAAATTTGAACCTCAAAAACTATAAATTGTTTAAATGATTTGGCATGTTTGCATATCTCCTATAGAATCTCTACCTCTTCGCGAATGAAACTAAGCAAAGTAGGTGATTCTTTTTTATGTAACTTAACAGTATTCACAAAGTATATTACACTTCATTTCTCCAACTGATAACTTAAAAGTGGTTGTAGTGACTTTAGGTGTTAAAAAGTTAGGGTTCAAAACAGGTTTTGGCATATCAAATTATTCTTATCAATGATGAATCATGCTTTTTAATTTTAAAGTGTCATCTTTATTATTTTAAAAAACCATAATTAAAGTACTTAAATTCATGTTTTGATGAGTTTTAATCTATATTGATGATATATTATTTTTTTTCAAAGATGAAAGGTTACTTATTATTTTATTAAAGTAACTTGCAGAGATTATTCATCACCATGGTATGATATTTTGTGAAAGCAAGATGCTTAACTATATATATAAAAAAAAAAAATCGACATGATCTTTGCAGATGGTGCTTATACACTTAGCATATATATAGCTGAAGAATTTCAAAAGTTTTCAAATAATTTCCTCATGAGAAAGCAAGTCCAACAGTTGTTGAGCATTGTCTAATATATCAAAAAATTTATCCCTAGAGTTGCACAGATGACAAAACCACTTCAGCTCATGTATTAGTATTTTCATTTGTATTATAGTAATTAATATATTATTATTATTTTAACAAGTATTATAGTAATTTACTATTTAATTACTATTAAATTAATTATATAGTATTCTATTAATTATTAATATTTAAATTTTAATATAATTATTTTTTTAATCTATTATTTTTCTATCTTCTTTTTTTCGATTGAAAAGGAATGTTAGATATTTATTTATTGTTGAAAAGAAAATCCCCAAACCAAAAACCCTAAAAAATCCAAATGTTGAATGTTCAGTCGAGTAAAATTTAAACTCACATATAATAATTAATGATTTTTTATTCTAATTATTCACGTGTAATTGGAAAATCATGGAAAACCCTCAATTTGATAATTAAGACTAAAAAAGAGCGTTTGTTTGGCAAAAAATGGTTTTTTGAAAGATATTTTCTAAATTTTTTTGTATTTATTTGTCATTAAAAAAGTTGATCAATAGAAAATACTTTCCAGTTAAAGAAAAGTTTGGCTTAATTTTCATGAAAGTATTAAATTGTAAAAAATTTAGAAATGTCATATTGTTTACTGATTATATCAAATTTGATCCTCAAAAATTTTGATTGTTATATATATTTTATTTTGAATATTTTTTTTTTATTTCATCCCTTAGAATTTAATTTTTATATTAAACTTTGGTCCTCATTTTTATAATTGTTATTTGCTTTTCCCTTACTATTTTTTAATTGAAATTTTTTATTTATCAAATTTGGTCCTCATTCTTTTGATTGCTACTTATTTTATTTGAAATCATTTATGAAATGGTTATTATTATTATTTTAATTTCTTTATCTTTTAATTTTTTTATTTGTTAGATTTGATCTCTATTATTTTAATTATTATTTATTTTATTTGAGATAAATTATTATATTATATTTTTTTCAATTTTATTCTTATTCAAATTTTTAATTTATAAGATTTGTTCCTCATTATTTTAATAAACTTGAAAAAAATAAAACATTAATAAGTTATTTTTCAGCTCATTTTTCATGACATAATCAAATACTAGAAAGTATTTTCCAACTTATTTTTAATTACACTACCAAACATCAAAAAATAATTTACTTTCTCGAAATTCACTTTTCTGAAATTCACTTTACAAAAGAAAACTACTTTCCAGTAAACAAACGGGGTCTATGTTCACGAAACTCTAATTTTAAAATGATTGCTTATAACATTGCTAATAGGTTGATTGAGACCTTTAATCAATTTTACTTAACCAATTATAGCTGCTTGAATAGCTAGTTAGACATGTTTAATTGGGTAAAAGGAAAAAAAACTCTTATTTTGTAAATTATACTAATTGTTCACAAAACCCTTCTTTTCAAATTATGTGGTAATTACACATGTTTATTTGGTTTTATTTTATTTTAACATGTGTATGATATGAATTAGGTTGTAATATGCTTTTGATTTATTAGAGCAACTCCAATGTAGGAAGCCAATGAAAAGCTAAAACCAAAAAACTATTTTTTTAACTATTATCTTTAATTTTAACATCTTCAACGGGATAGTTATTTCAATAGTTAAAATACATGTTGTCCCTATAAATGTTCAATCAAATATTTTTAGAATTGAGAGCTAGTTACTCTATCCCTGATTCGATTATGAGTTTGAAGAAAATCATGTAATTCTAGTATTTTACCATGTGACATTAATAAAAAAAAAATTGATTTTATGTTCATAGTCAAATCCAAGGTTAATTGCTTATTCATTCTCAATAATCATATTTTGTATTATTATGCAAGTTTTCATAATATTTGTAAGTGTTTCTTTATTTTAGTATTGTACAGGTCCACATATAATTGCGAAACAAGAATGCAACACTCCAAATACCCGCTCCACATCTTTTTTTGTAGACTTTTGCTTGTAAAATATTTTCTCTTTGCTCCTAATGACCTTAGGATTGTCTTAACAAAGGTTGACCAATTAGGATAAATCTCATCTACTAAATAGTATCTCATTATATATTTATACTCATTAATTCTATAATTGATAGGAGCATTACGACCTTTAACAAGTGCAGTGAAGACAGGTGACCGATCAAAAACATTAATATAATTTAATAATATAGGCATTCCAAAAAAAAGTATGTCATATCCAAAAATCTTGTGAAACCACTACCTCTAGGATTATAGCTGGTTCACAACAATGATCATTATACATCTCATGCCATGTGGTTGGGTATTTCTCTCATTTCCAATACATACAGTCAACACTTCCTAACATCCCTGGAAATCTACATTGCTCTCCAGTTGATAACAATAAACCAATATCAGTTTTATGTGGCGCTCTTAAATACCAATCACAAAAATTTTCTATAATTGCTTTGATGAAAGCGCCAAGACTTTTTATCACGGTGCTTTCCCCAATTCGAAGATATTTATCAATAAGATCTCCAAGAATACATGTAAATATCATGTGAGCTACAATTTCTTTTTGAAGGCAAAATAAACCAAGAACACCAAGAGCATTTGTCTTTTGTTTGAAATATGAATTGTGAGCTTCCATAGCATTTACAATTTGAAGAAAAAGACCACGACTTATCCTAAATCTCATTTGAAATTGACTTTCAGTGAATTTAGATTTTTTAGCGAAATAATCATTATATAGCCTTAGTTCAACTTTTTTTTATTACGATTAATGATATTGTGACCAGGAATAAAGCCACAACTCTTTATTCTCCACTCTTGATTATTCAATTCTTCTTTAGTAACCACTATAGTAGCAACTTGAAAGGCAAACATAGAAGTGTCATCATAAAAATTAAAATTAGAATGATTCATTATAAATTTTAATGAAATAAAATGAAGATTAGAGAGAAGAAAATGATGAAGAAATTTTTTTAGGTATATGAGAATATTTATAGATGGATTTGTTTTTTCCAAATTTTAACATCTTAATATGTTGGTGGTAATTTTTTAAATTTTGAAATGTTGATGTTTATTTTTTTCAAAATTTGATATGTTGGTGGTTTTTTCAAAGTTTAAATTTTGAATTTTCTTTTCAAAAATCATAATTTTAACAATATCATATAAAATTGAAAATTGAAAATATTCATATAAATAAATTTTGATTTTAAAATTTTAAAACTTAAACTTAAACTTATATCTTTTAACTTTCATATTACTTCATTAATTTTATATTTAATTTTATAAATTATTCATAGTAATTGTGTAATTGATAACATGATTATTTTATATAAAAAATAACTAAATTAATTATATAATTATATTAAAATTATTTTAATATAACATATATTAAAATATAAATGGCTCTTTTAAATGGCTTTTTACCATTGAAACACATATAAATAAAAAAAGTTATATTTACAATATTTAAAAAACCATTTTATAAATTTGGCTCTTTACAATAGCATCTCCTACTAGAGATACTTTTATACTTTGGTTTGTTATGCTTATAGTTTTCTTACAATGAAGTAAATATATATATATAAAAAAAAATTAGTTGACCTTTTCTATCCTTTATTAAGTTCATATATATATATATATGGATAAATTAATAATGCACTAAATACACACCAAAATTTTCCTTCCGATCTTACCGTATTAGATTATACCCATCATTTAATATGGAATAATATGTTGATATGACTACATTAAAATCTCATGATTACTACTTAATAATGAACTCACTCTATTAATTAGGCTCTTTTATTCATAACCAAAATAAATTCAATAAAAGTAAACTATTGCTTACAATATGGCTAAGATGTGTTTTATATCCTACTACTTGTATGTGAATGTTTCTAATGCTTGTGGTTTGTTATCAATTATATAGTTTATGAATTTGTTTAATTGGGATGCCAATATTTTGGTACTTTATTTTAATTATCCCAAAGTAAATCATACAACTCATGCAATTTTATTTCTATCAAAAGCAACTGTGGCATTAATTGTATGTCTTATATAGACAACATATTATTATACATAAGTAATTTTTTGATGAAGACATAAAGAGATTTCAAATTATAGATGACAAAGAAAATATAGATATTACGTGTGTTTAATGTGCATAGAGGTGCATATGAGATTCATCCATGTGTTGATGTTGATCTTGTTAGTTCTTTCTTAATAATAAAAATGTCAAAGTGTTATTCAAAGAATCTCAAATATGGCAAGCCATCTGGAACCAAATATTTTGTTGATCTTAATGGTAATAAAAGCAATAAAATGATATTACTAGAATATGAAAATCATATGGATAGAGATATTGATGACGATGATGCTAGTGATTTAGGAATTAATAGTTTCAATGCTAGTATAGGTGATAGATCTAGAAATGATGTTGGAACTTCATACACAATAGAAGAAGAAGTGATGATATCTTAAAAAATCCAAGTAACCTAATAATAGGGCTCCTGAGTTGAATAATCGATTAATCAATTGATCCTAACAATTTCATCCATTCTCCCTAGCCAAAGTAGTTGATAGCTTATATTTAGTCCTCGGTAGGCCAAGGTAGCTTATGACTAGTACCTAGCACCTGTAAAAGGTTTTTTTTAGTAGAGGTATGGACTCTCTGATACTTAAATAAGTATATTTTTATAGAGATAAAATATAGTAATAATCTAAAGAGAAATGCTTTGAAAATATATATGCAATAGAGAATGAAGATTGTGAATCTTTATTCTGAAAGTCTTATAGTGTATTTATAGTCTATGAGTTTTGTATTTTTTGTGAAGAGAAGGGTCTGAAGTGTAATTTTATCTTGATAGCATTTAATGAGAGATAAATATCCCTTATATTTGTATTAACATTTGATAGAAATATGATGGGTTCTTGAAGGACTTTTATACGCCTAAAAAGTGTTAAGAGAGTAGGGTCTAAGACGTCAAATGTAGCTAAACTCATGAAGGTTGAACTCTTCCCCTAGGCTAGACCTAAGAAAGGCTAGGTCCATCTCTTGGGTAAGTCCAAGGAAGGAAGGTCATCTCCTTAGACATGCCCAAGAAAGATGGTCTGCTCATTCCTTTGGGCATACCTAGAGAGGATGCTCATTTTTTTGGGAGTACCCCTAAGAGGATGTTCATTCTCTTGAGTGTGGTCAGGGCTTGTCACATTGCCATACTCAATCAAGGCTAGGTCCGGCTAACACCAGACCCAACACACCTTTATTAGAATGTGCTTGTGTTTTAGAAAATTTACAATTGTAAATCTTTCTTGATTCATTGTTTTTAGTGAAGATATACTAATAAAAACTTAATTGATCAGAAAGATATTTCTGTTGCTGACAAAGGTGGAAGAGTGGTTACTAGAGGTTCAAAAGGTGCTAAAAACGAGACTAGTCCATCCTCCTTATACATATAAAAATCGATTCATCCTTCATAATATTCAAGCTATTCCGATTAGCTTATAAAATATTTTTGCTTTTTTTGCTTTAATTTTAGATGTGTTAAAAGGGACTATTTTGATGGTAGTTTTATGATTGTTATTTGGATAATAAGGTTGCAAAAAGTTTTTTGTTAATTGGCTGGGAATTGAGTTTCTTAAATGAGTTCGGGTCTAAGATTTCACAGATTATTAGTTTGGGAGAATAACTCAATTTTAGAAGATTTGTTTAGGTTTGCTTTTTAAAAAAAAACTTAAAGTTTTTTAGTTTCATCCTCCAATATTTATTTAATTGGAGAATAAGATCTATTTTTATTTTATTTTTTTATGTAGGATATTTTACTAATAATAAAAATAACTTGGTTGCCTCAAATCTTTTATTTATCATTTTTTGTTAAATTTATTTTTTTTAAAAATAAATTTTATTTTTTAATTAAATTAAATTAATTGATTAAATAAAAAATATTCACATTATGATATTTTGTTTAATTTGTTTTTTAAGTCATTACTTTAACACGTGTAACCTCTTTCAACATCTTTCAATGTCGTCTTGCAATATTTTTTAGTGACATTAGAATTATGTTGATGCCTATAACAAAGTAAAAATAAGTTCCAATGAGTTTTTACTTTTTATTCTTTCAAGTATAATATTAACAGCTTTTTTTTTCCGTTAATTATTTTCTCCCTTTTTCTTTTGTTAACTCTACATACTATCAATATTTTTTTTATTAATATTATTAAATTAACCATATCTATTCAATCCAATCAAATTAACACCCCATTTCTCTAAAAATTTTTATTTTAAAAAAAAAAACAATATCATCATCTAAACGTTTTTTTAAGCTAGGAAAAATTTGGGTTAGCTAGCATAACAAGTGTCTAAGCTCTAACATAAGGAAATGAGCATGAAAAAAAAAATTGCTCAATCAGTAACTTTCCAGTAATTAAGATGTCACTGGACACCTAGCATCCTATCTAGGTAAACATAATTAACGGTAATTTTCATCTCTTTTCTCTTCCCTGATTGTTTGCATGTGAAAATGCCAAAGCATTTTAATAGGAGAGCCCCAGTGTGATTTGTATCTGAATGTACAATTCATCTAGCCAGGTCAAAATAGCATCTTGGATAGTTTGCAGATTACTTTCAAGCGTCGCTGGAATGAATAGATCAAATAACGCCAGCAAGGAAAACCCCAAATCAACTTAGGGCAAAAGCCGAGTCCTGGAGGTAAAAACTCATTGCCTTATGGTAAGCTCAGCCCTGAGATGGAGGGTGCCATTAATAAAATAATTGCTGTCATCTTCCATGAATGCTTCCCAGAGTACACCGAACAGGTTCCGATACCCAACAGCCTTCCCACCTGTGAAAGTGTAGTTCCCTTTGTTCTTGTTGACATAACCCTCAGTTGGCTTTGACCTGGCTGCAAACTCATAGTCAACAGCAAAGCTCGCTGATCCCTTTTCTTGCATTCCCAGAAAAAGTCCAAAACAGTGATACGTGCCCTGTTGGTCCATGTTGCAGTGGGCAGACAAGAAAAACCCCTGTCCACCAAGGTGAAATGCTTGTGAATACACCCGACCAGTTGGAAAGAGTTGTGCACACTCCTCCCGCTTCAAGTCCAGGTACACCACACATTGCTGATGAGGACTTTCAAAATCAACCACCTTGACAGGTCGGTACTTATATGCCCGCTCCACAAAGCGACGATTGACAGCATTGGGTACATCTACTGCAAGAGCACGCTGCCTAAGTGGTGTCTCAGCCTTGAAAAACAAGGCCTCCAGCACAACCTTGGATGCAAATTCAGGGTGAAAGTCATTGCAATTTAAAACCTTCTTCAATTTTCGACAAGTCATATATGGGAAACGGATTAGTTGAACAAGTCGTTTGCCAAGAACTTCTTTCCGCTCCTCCAATTTGGGATAATGAGTATGCGCCCACTTGAGCACTAAGTCATATATAGTATCCTCTGAAGCTGCCTGGAGATAATCACTGGATAGCACAGCCTCAATACCAGCCAAAGGCAATTTAAGCACCTCTTCCTGAAACCTAACCAGAAATGAAGCTCAATAGCATGGGTCAATAATTCAAGAAATAAATGACAGAAGCTCAAATGCATTTTCCACATTATTCCATGGGAAATTAGTGCTGCCAGCAGCTAACAAGAATAAGCTCAAAATATTCTTTCCACGTTAATTAAGCAAAAGCTGTGGGCATTGCCAAAATAAATACATGAGTACATTCAACATTGGCATAAAATCATAAAGAAAATTTCTAATAATAACAGGCAAGCCATCAATTACAAAGAAAATCGAGCTGCAAATAAAAGAGGCTTACTTATATATATCTTTGTATCTCACAGATAGAAACTTCTTTGCTGCATTCGTCAGGGGCTGAGCTGCTTCGGCCATTACAATACTCGAAGGAAGGTCCAAGTAGAGCAAAGCAGATTCACAGGTCATTGGGATGTCGCGCAATAACTTGCTGCAATATCTCATGCATGATGCAACCTTGAATTTGTAGGCCGCCAAGAGCACATCCAGCAAAGCAGTCGCTCGGCACGCTGATAAGTTGTTACTATATATAAAATTGAGGAGGTCCATTAAGGCCTCTTCTTCTGCTCCAGGAGAACAAACAGGGGAAGAAGAAAACAGCAATAAGTCAACTTCATCAACTCGAGAGAACAAAGAAAAAAATGAAAATGATGATGGCCTATAAATGTGTATAGGTGCATAACTAACACTGAAAAAACTATATAAAATTATATATATATATATATATATATATATGAGCAGCCATCAAGAGGCACTAGTAACCAGAAACATCCAATAACCTAATGCTACTGTATTTACCAGAGGCATTTATCTGTATAGTAACGTCTCGCTGCGCTGACTCTTTTATCCCATTTAAAAATAACTGCAAGAAATAACAAAACTTTATAAAGGCACAAAGTTCAAACAATAAAAGCAGTAAAACAAGGCACGGCCTCTCACCTCGTGAAAAAATAAACTCTTGGCTGCCAATATTGCAGAGCTAATATGTACACTCTTAACTCTTAGAACTGTTTTACAATCCATGCTCCAGGATGAGTCACTGCTTGGACCAGCAGCATCACCTACACAAGTAAATAACCAATCATACAAACAGAAAGCATTTTAACATGGCAATGGATACAATTTACATGCAAGTGACCAACAGAAGTAAAGACGATACAATAGAATAAAATAAGAAAAATACCACGTTGATGAAAATCCAATTGAGCATCTATAGGAGACCCCTCAACCATGGCCACAGTATCCTCTGTGTCGGGAATGTTACAAGTCAGTGCCTGCTCATCCTCACTTTGCCCCACGATTTCCACGGCTAAATGCCACAAAGTGTGAGCCACGTTCTAATCAGCAAAACCAGTATCAACAGATACTAGTAATAGTATTTTATTACTACAAATAAAATCAAAGAATCCAAAATTGCTAAATACAAGAACTTTAAAGTAAAATTAAGAGTTCCATTAGCAAGAAAGTCATTATTTTTTATACATAAAAGACATTAAATCAAAATCCCATTAAATGGTCACCATAATTTTTTAAAAAAAAATTAAAAATAAAACCAAACTTTTATAAAGAACAAAGCTAAAAGCTCTAAATTATCCAATAACAGTTAACAATGCTAAAGATTGAAACTTTACGGAAAACCAACAATTCCCAGTAACAAGAAAGCCATCACTTGATACATAAAACCACATTATATTCTAAATTTCCTCACTTCGGCAACGTAATTTTCAAACTCACATTAAAATTTATAAAATAAATGACAATCGTAGTGGCAAAAGCAATTTAGTAAAGCGAACAATTATCAATTAACAACAAAATCATTACTTTCAATTCAAAAAACACATTATATCAAGCCAAGCAATCATCCAAATTCATAAAAAAGAAATCCAAACTTTATAATTAAAAAAAAGAAGAAAAAATACGGAAGTACTGACCTTTATCTTTCTTAACATCCTTTCTTCTTCTCTTTCTGTTACGGGCCCACTCAGTGATGCTAGAGCAGCCATCACCGGCTGATTTTACATCAGGCAAACCAGCGACGATCTCGATCTTTAACACCCTATCAGAGAAATTACTGTCATTGAAAGCGAAACTGAAATCACAGTCCAACCGGGACTCGACGGGAGAGACGTACGAGTCCATGTCAATTCGAGGATCAAAGAGGTCTGCCCCCGGTAATATCATTAAAAAGAGAGAATCTGTAAGGGCTTTTCATTTGATTTTTAAAGATTTTGAAACCTTGCAAATTGGGGATTTGTTTTAATTAATTAGTTTGGATTTATTGTTAGTTAGGGTGTGAGAAACCAGGAAGTTAGTTTGAGAGTGAAGTTGGGGATCTAGCATAGTTACCAAACATAGACAGTTAGTTAATATTTTGGATTTTCTTTGTCTCGAGAAAAAATGAACAGAGAAAATTATTTGAAAATAAATTATTATTTAGAGAGATAATTTTGATTAAAAAAAGCTGTAGTAACTAATAAAGTAGTCTATTATTATTATTATTATTATTATTATTATTATTATTATTATAAAAACACTATAAACTCTCTTGGATTTCACTATGTTTCGGAGTAATACATTTTTTTATTATCAAAATTTTATTATCTTTGATTGCATTTTTTTTTTTATAATCATAAAAAAATCAAGAGTAAAACAAGGAGAAATCAAGTGGCCGATTAGAAGCTATGCGAAAAATTCACTGTAATCTACCTACTTTCTTTTGAATTTCTTTTTATTATCTTTAGTTTTTGAAATTTTTATTTGAATTCAAATTTTTATTTTGTTTCATTTGTTATCTTTAAATTTAAGAGAGAAAAGAAAACGTTATCAAATTACAAGAGAAGAAAAAAAAGTTGTCGATTAACCCGATTTTAATAACAAAAATAATTAATCTTAGTATTAGTAGATTTTTTTCTATTTTCTATGAAGATTTTTTTACTAATTTAACCCTAGAAATGATTTTATTCAGGTATGTAAGGTTGTTATAGATATTTTCAAGTGGAAATGAAATGTTTTTAAGTAAAATTAAAAATAATTATTTTTAAAAGTAAAAAACTCAACTTTCCGGCCATTTAATTCAAGACAACGCCTTATTTTACTTTATTTAAAAAAAAAATGAATGGATGACAAGTCATTTGTCCCTTTTGTTAATAAAATTGCAAGCTCGTACGCATGGCATTCTCTATTTTGATAAAATGCGTTGAGCCTTCTAGATAGACGCTTGGTGGCCTCTATTTCTTGGGCCATTATGTTTTTTTTTTCTTTTTTTTCTTATTAAACTTGATTTAAATAAATAACTATATTAAAAATATTATTTTATGAAATGTTATTGAATTTATGTTTTGTTTATTGATGGCATTATAGGTTTTCTTTACAAAATTATCAAACACTTATTTTTGGATAACCCTCCGTGATTGTCTTTATTTTTTAAAAAATTTTATTTGCTTACTTTTTTACCATGTTTTTTATTATCAATTGGATACATAAAAAAAGACTCCAAAAAGTTCAAGTGTATTATTTATATATTTTTTTAAAGTATCCACAGAATAATCATCAATACATTATTTTTTATTAAAGTTTTATTTTATGATTATGATAATTATTTGTTTCGAAAAATGAACGTTTTGATTAAAAAAGAAATAAAAAAAAGCACATTAATAGGACAAATAGGTTTTAATTATATAAAAAAAAAAGATGTTTTTTTATCCTTATTTGGGGTTGCCAGAGTGTTTTGGATATTTAATCTATTTGCATTTGGTTTTTATCAATTGAAATACATTGTCTGCGCAAGAAGCTCACGGGATTAGCTTGTCCCAAATTTGGTCCAATCAAACTTCTTGGGACTAAGCAATTTCATTAAAACAAAGGGTTGAGACTTGAGAATCTTGGGCCTGATATGTATATTGTTTAGGCCCATAACAACTTAGCTATTGGGCCTAGTTGCTTCTTCACCCGGCTATTTGCTGAGAGGGGCCCTTTTAAGGAAATTAAGCAACGTCATCACATTAAAACTCATATACACATCATTTTGAGAGTTTTGGGCCAAACATAAATAGCACCCACTTAATTTCCTTATTAAGTCCCCTGTTTTGGGCTATAGTTGAATTGGCATTCGTTAAATTCTGAATTTTTTTTATTTTCTTCGAATTAATATTTTTATATGGTTTTGATATATTAATATTCAAATAAATTTTAAAAAATAAAAAATATTATCTTTATATATTTCTAAGTAAAAAAAAACTTTCAAAAACAATCTTTCCTTCCCTTCCAAATAAACCATAAACTTGGATAGTCAATATAAGTCATGCTCATGATATCAACTTAAAATCCTATGACCTCATTCTTTAAGAGCACATGTACGTGGGCTTGAATTAGGATGGTAAACCTAACCCGATCAACGCATAATATATTTCCTTTTAATGCACATTAAAGCAACTTGGACATATTTCTCTCACTTTGTTCTTCCAAATAATTTTTAATCTTTTCTACCCATTTTATTTAACCATTTTAACTTTTTTAGGTCAATAACTAGTAAAAAAAAAGTTTATCAGATTATTTTTCTTGCTTTTTAAAACTGATGATGACCACTAATATGGGATGGAGGAAAGAGTTGGGGTGTAAACTTATGATTACCTTTATTGTTCATATGAATAATGGAGGTGACTTTTTTCTTTTCATTTCACTTATTTTCAATATGATGACCAGTGGTAGCTAATTAATCACAAAATCTCTTGAAAATTCAACAATGGACTAATATCTTTGTTGCATCAGTTGGAATTCATCCTTGAAATGCAATTTATGAGTTTTTGATAGGTGTGAGAAGAAAACTTTAAGAGCTTGTCAAGCCTTATATAAGTGTTGTAAGCCCAGTACCTAACTCATGGACTCCACTACCGTAAGAGAAGAAATCAACAAACTCAACATCATCTTGTCTATATGCACCCAAGATTCGCAATTAAGATTTGGCTTTGTGACTCCACTAAAATCAATGGTCAAGGTACATAGAGCAGTGATGCTATCATCCAAAAACCCAAAGAGCTCTTGACTGGTTAATAGAGGAACAAACAAACTTCTCCATAATAGATAATTGGAAGAAGTTAGTTTAATAGTAATCATATGTACCATTGTCTTAAGCGGAAAGGTAGGAGATGAAGAAGATGAATCACTTAGGATCAATTTGCAACCTTGCTCCGAAGCCATAAAAGTGTATGACAAATCTCCTTCTACGATAAGAAGATGTCTTTCTATTATTATATACAAATGTTGCAACGAAAGAATCCTATATAATAGAGAAGATAATAAGAAAGGATAGATGCAAATAAGTAAATTAACATCATACACCTATACAAAATACAGAGATTCTACGTTAACAGAATAGGTAAATGGACATATCTTAGGGATCTTCCTTATCAATTACAAATTACAGTTGACATTGAAAGAGAATTATTCATCCAATTGTAATTGTTTTTTAATACCGATTTAGCATGTCATCATCAGGATCAGAATAAGAAGAAGGATAGAAATGCTCACGTTAAACTCCCGAGTCGCAGGTAAAAAGTTCGTTGTTTAACTTACCATAATTCTTAATTGTCATCAAATGATCATTAAATATCTATATATGAGCAGTGAATGGCACCTTATTACGATCATGTGTTGATCTTTCCTTCAATAACCTCATGTGCTCCTTTCTTGTTCATCACTTAATTTAGTTACTTGTTGCTATCGTTATGTATGCATAGTCAAAGGTGCAAAGTTGAAAATTCTGCTTCTTTCTAATATATATAGTTCTTTAACATTAAGAAAGCAGCAACTTTTTGTTATGAATCTTTAACTTGTTTATATTTGGAAACTCTTTTCTATTGCCGACTCCGGCAAGGAGAATTTAAATGATGCCCTAATACCAAATTTCTTTTAAGTTTACGCCTTATAAACAAGCATCTTTAAGTACTGCTGGTTTATTTCATGGATACAATTAAATATAGCTATTATAAGTATCAACATAAAGCTTCCACATTTGTGCAAGATTACACTTGTTAAGTCATTTCAATCAAAGCAGCTTTTAATGGCATCCATTGATACTGTTTTTTTTGCTTTTCTAGAACTTGACCAATATTATAGAGAATATTAGTTATGGATCGTGAATATGCATTTTCAAAGACGAAGAGACATGATGATATGTTTTTTTTATTTTTAAAAGAAGGAGACATGATGAATATTACCTATCAAAGAAGTAAAATCTTCTTTTTATAACAGCCAATAATTTTCTTAATAATTCGCATTTCCCATCATGTCCTCCAGATCAACAACAATGCTTAACAAATTTCATCACGACACATGATTAAGGAATTATTAGTCTCTCAATACTTCATTTCTCTAATCAAGTTACTCCGGACATTAATTCAATACAGGAGGACTAAAACTAGATTCTTGCCTTAAAAATGTGATGTAAAACTGTAGATACGTTAAAAGCAACTGGTGTAGAACTGAAAGGTTTATACTGTGATTATGTGGGGGGAGAAAAACTTCAAAATGGAACCTGTGAACAAGAAAGAGAAGGGAGAGAAAGAGGTCTAAGAAAACTCCAAAGCATATCCAGGAGCACGAGAGAATATTAATGAAAACATCCAAGGACCATTGCATGTGGGCAGGTATGAATGATTCTGGCTAAAAGCCCATCATGACAGAGAGATGGATTTAAAATCATATACTTCCGAAAAAGACAATAGGAAAGAAAAGAAAAAACCAGCTGTTTTACAAGCATAAGGTCATTTCATGGGACAACCCCATTTGCCCAAATAAAGCATGAACTGCCCTGTTAGACTCTGTGCTATTATTGCATGGGTACTTGCTTCTCTCAAATGGCTGACGTTGTCTGTAAGACAGTAACTTCGTCTCTTTCTTTGAATCCTAATGTTTCTCTCCCCCGTCTATGAAGGGAGGTGTCTGTGCCTTATGTTTGTTTAAAGCCCGTTTCCATGATTCTCCATTTGATCCCATGTTAACCTTTTAGAAAACAACAATCTCATGAAAGAAAGTATTCTTTTACCACGTATAATTAATAATTTGCTGTGGCAAATTAAAGGATGAGCCGTGGACATCTACACACATGTTTTTTAAAGTTGTTTGTGCCAAGGCCAATTAGATAACCAAGCCATTGTTCTTGTGGTTGTTGATCTAAATTTCTGGATTTAATGATAGATGCATGGATCGATTTGATGAGAAGGGAAATAAATTTTGCCAAACATGTACTTATTTATTTATTTTCTTGCTTTAATTTTTATTTTTTGCCCTCAATTTCTTGTCTTTTTTAAATAACTATATGATATTCATGGAATAACTATATATGTCATCCTATTA